CTGCGCTGCCCGCCTGCGCCCGCTGGCACCCGCCGCCGCCGTCCTGCTGGGGAAAGCGGAGTTACCTCTGCGCTCCGGCAGGGGGGAGAAAATGGCGCACCAGAATGGAGTCCCTCTTCTCTCCTCCTAACAAAAACAAAAAAATCCTGGTAAGAAATGTCATTTACTTACAAAAGACTCCTGTAGTAGGGGGTTCCCCAGTGATTGAGAGCCCAAGGACAACCAAACGGTTAGAAAACTGGTAAATAAATGACAGCAATATAGAAGAGCTTTGTGACTTAAAAAAAAGATGGTTTTGTTTGGTTGCGTCTTCAGTTCAATGCCAGCTCTCAGATATGAGCGTTTCTGAGCTGAAGACAAGTTTAGGTTCATGTCTGAAATTTGAGGCTTGGCTTTTTTTCGACTGCTTTAACCGCTGCTGCTGTTTTCAGCGTGGCCACATCATACTGCAGTTTGTTTTTTAAAAGCACTCTGCTACATCTCTTGGTTTGTAAAGTGCAAGTGCTTTTAAAGGCCCCAGTTTTAGGCATTTCTGCTCTATTGAAAATTCAGCTTCAAGCTGTAAGTTAGCTGATATATTGTACGCTAAAACGTATTGAGCGGCTGTATCTCGAGGGAAAATCTGGGGGAAAAAAGCCCAGTAGTTTCTCCATTATAGTACTAAAAATAATCCTCCTCTTAACAAGAATGTTCTTGATAAAGAGAAATATGCCTAACTGGCAATATAGGCATCTAGTACAAAATAGGGTCGCGGCTAAAGGAAGCCATGTAGATCCTTGGGGTACTGGGCCAGGCTCATTTTGGCTATTGATCGAGTTGGCTTTCGGGATCCCAGGGATGGCAGAAGGTTTAATAAAGTTCACGTACAGCCATGTCATTCAGTGCAACAATTAAAATGTTTGTTTGGAGAACTGAATATTTTAAGGGGCTGATAACAGGGAGATGCAGGATCTTTGTCACTGATGCAAGTCATTGGTGGAGCTGGTATCTAATCCTGGTTTTCTAGTGAATCGCGTCGTCCCTGCACGCACACTTGTGCTGGGGTGAGGTCTTCCAGCGAGGGTGCTAAGGGAGCGGGAAATCAAGCTGTCTGCTTAGCGGAGCGCTGGCTCCCCCGCCGGGGTCAGGTCTTGCGGCTGAAGCGCGCCCCATCAGGGCTCAGTATATGCAGTACTTGCAGGCCCATCTGGTACTGACAAACGTTAAAGGACAGTTGAAATTAATCCTAGAGAAACAAAGGTCAGAATAAAAGAGAAAGGAAACAGTGTGCAGCCAAACAGGGTTAAAGAAAGGCATTTCAGTTTGCCTGTTTTTTGTACTCCGTTTCCCCATTAAAGCTTTAATAAGTGGGGAATAACTGCTGAAGGCTGGTGCCCTCCTCTTCACATGGCACATCTGGCTTTATCTCAGGGTTTTGTGGTGTTTTGGTTGGCCAGAAGTTTGCGAGGACATCTTTTACTTGTCACGCAGAAATTCCTGTTGTTTATTTCAGCGACTGTCTGGAGGAAGGGTGCATGTGCTCCAGCATGTGGCCTTTCAATAAATAAAGAATTGGTAAAAGTCCAACTTTAATTAAAGGGTGCCCAGCCTTTCTGAAGAAGTATTTTCTTTGCAACACTGTTAATTAATCCATTATGTGGCAACATAAAACTAAAATACTGTGTTCAGTGCTGTCAAATGCCTCTTTAGAATGACTCCGTCTTCCCAGCATCCTTGTGAAGTCGGTATTACACACGCAGCAGCCGAGGCTTGGGCCGTCTGGGGCAAAAAGATGAAATGAACTTCAAAGCGAAGAGCTGGCCTAGTGGTTAATAAAATGCCCTGCTCCGATGGAGAGAGCTGAGTTGTAACTGCTGCATAACCTTCCAGAGTTGTTTTCTTTGCCGATAGGACTACCCATTGCTGGCGACTCGGAAAAGAGAACATAAATAAATGAATGAAATGTTTCACCTTCCCCCTCCCTAATAATCAAAACTGAGTTGAACAAAAACTCAGTTGTTGGCATCAAACTTTTTAGTCCCCTCCCATAACAAATTTTCTTATTTGTAGAGGGGCTGCTGAGCACCCTGCTCTGTGCGCGTAGAGGCGCAGGCGCCCTGCGAGGCTGCACCTCCGCGGCACATCCGCGCCGGCTGCCGGCACTGCCGAGAGCAGGCCACGATGGCCACTGCTGCCGGCACCAGCTCCGGGATCCATCCTAACCATGCTGACCCAGCAAGGTCAAGGAAATCAAGGAAATCTAGGTTTATAATTAGTTTTATCTCCTTTGGAAAGAATCAGTATACAGTGCTACCATATGTAAGACAGGATTTGTAAAATCAGAAAAAATGCGTATTCCTTTGTGTGTCATAACGCTTGCGAATTGTTTTCTGCAAGTTACTGTTCTTTATTTGTTTCCAAGAGAAAAAAAAATACTTCTTAATACTTCTTAACTTCCTTTAGTTGCCTGTACTGTACTTGAACTTCATTTTCTATTCAGCATGCTGCCTTTCAGAGTCTGTCTTCACTCCCTCAATTAACAGCTTCTTGACTTATATTTTGCAATTCTACCACAGGGCTTTTTCAGAAGGAGTCAGCAAAGCAATGCTACCTACTCCTGTCCTCGTCAGAAGAACTGTTTGATTGACCGAACTAGTAGAAACCGCTGCCAGCACTGTCGATTACAGAAATGCCTTGCTGTGGGGATGTCTCGAGATGGTGAGCTATGCTAACCCCTAATTTTATTGCAAGAAGTAAAGTATTATTTAGTATACTACGTGTTCAACTGAAACAACATAGCATTTAAAAGTTATTGTGCGTCAAGCCAGTAGCTGAGATCACCGAGTAGCTTTTATATGTTGTTATACGTTTATGTAAATATATATAAATCGGGGCATGTATAATGTTCTTGATGTTTTCCCACTCATCTACTGTAGTCCCAGTTAAGAGCTTTGCTTCAAGTCACTTCTTGAAGATGCAGTTTTTAGTCTAACGCTAGTACTTTCTATGTGTTCATTCCAACTTAAATGACGTAGTGCAGTTGCAGAAAAGAGTCTGATTGCCGTATTGGTACAGATCAGAGTTATTTTACAATACATATGGAAGTCAAATGTGTGTATAATGAATAATGGAAAAACTACAAAGAGAAAATGATGCAGTGTTTTCTCAAACCCCTGTTTTTGTTTTTGTTTTTTTAAGACAAGATCCTGAAGAAAATGTGTTCCAGTGCTATTGATATTAAGCTCAAAATTGCACCTAGTATAATGATGAAAATCTACCTCACTGTAAGATGGAAGCTTATATAACACTATTAGAACTGGATTTGCAGCTGATATTTGCACACCTCCATACAGTTAACGAAGCTGCCATCACTTACCCAAGATCTGACTCAGTCTTTTCCCCTGCAGTAGTGATTGATAGCAACATTACATGTTCTGCAATGCATATGCGTTGCACATGAAGCCTGTTTGAGAAGGAGACAGTTTTCAGGTTACATTTACTTCTTAAATTACATTTATATCTTAGCTTTTTTTTATTGGGTGTGAAACTAAAAACCTGAAATGGTTGATCATGTAATGACCAGTTCCTCTGAAGCTTTTGCTTTCCTATAGAAAGGTACAGGTTGGTAGTCATCTCCCTAAACTATGAAGCTTTTGGAGCTGACAGAGGTCCCAGAAATCACATACCATATTCTTAGGAATTCACTTGACATGCCAAACCAGTTGCTTCTGGCTTACACTTAATATACAAGTTTCTGAGTTACATGTTTAAAGTATTATAGGGGGCAGATATATATATATTTTTCAATAACTTTCTGGGTAAACGTTTTTGCCCACAAAAATGTTCACTTGTCATAGTAAGCTGCACTGAAAGCAGCTTCCGAGGTTTTCCCCATGTTCTTTGGTCCTAATATCAATAAAGCTTGCTTTTGACATTTTTTAAGATTGACCCTACATGTTTATACCTAACTGTATGTTCACTTTGTGGCATGGACATACCAGCAGTAGGAATTGGGCTGTTCATCTCAGACCAGCACAGTATTTTTTAATTGTCATCCACTAATAATTTTATAGGTGGGATTTGAATGCCTAAGAGATGTATCGGTCAACTTCAGTGGATATATAAGAGAAAATCATTTAAATACAGAAGTGGAAAGCTAATGAATTAAGCTAAAACAATAACTCTAACATCTAGAGTAGACAGTATGTTAAAACTGCCTCTTAAAGACTAGATGCTGGAGTTCAGTTACCTGTAACTGGCAGATGTGACTTTTGGGTCTGCTCATCTTGTTTTTTTTAGCTTTTATACCATGTTTTTTTGCTGTAGTATTTAAAGACTCAAGACAATTAAAATGCAGTAGTGGTTTATAGGAATGAAATGTATTGTGTGTCTGTATTTCAGCTGTAAAGTTTGGTCGAATGTCAAAAAAGCAGAGGGACAGCTTGTATGCGGAGGTGCAGAAACATCGAATGCAGCAGCAGCAGCGAGACCATCAGCAGCAACCAGGAGAGGCAGAACCACTAACACCAACATACAATATCACCACCAATGGGTTAACAGAGCTCCATGACGACCTCAGTAATTACATTGATGGGCATACCCCTGAAGGTAGCAAAGCAGACTCTGCAGTTAGCAGCTTCTACTTAGACATACAGCCTTCTCCAGATCAGTCGGGTCTTGATATTAATGGAATCAAACCAGAACCAATATGTGACTACACACCAGCATCGGGCTTCTTCCCTTATTGTTCTTTTACAAATGGGGAGACCTCTCCAACTGTGTCCATGGCAGAATTAGGTAATGAGAGAGAAAAGCTTCCATTGTAACTGTCTTAATAGTACCCTTTGGATTAAACTGACACATTTAGGCAGGCGATAGTGAGAATGCTGCGTCAGTATAGCTGTGAGCATGTCCAGGCATCCTTCTGCGAAGTGCGCAATACCCTAAGGATAGTACATGGTGAACCCCTTACGGAACTGAGCTAAAAATCCCAGGAGCTTGCAGTTAATCAGATCTAGTTGTATTGTCCTCGTGTTAAATCTTTGTAGTAGAACCCTCTGAATACTGATTAACAAGCGAATTTTCAGTGCTGAGCAAGCATACAGAGTATTTCTTCATTTGCAGATTATTTTTGAATGTTTTATCATTTTTTTCTTTAGCTGTACTCTATTTTCTAGCAAAAAGTGATGAAACTGCTCTTTGCCTGATGAAACTGCTATTTGGGAAATAGGAAACCAAAACCCCAATCTAGTTCATGGGTGGTTCTCCTCTCTGCTGATCAAGGAGGAGAATCTTGCCCCAGATACTTTGGAAGATTTTTGAATGTAGCAAGTTCTGATAATTTCCCTAAGATCCTTATAATGCCTACCATAGTTAGCACGTCTGAGTTGGCACTGTTTCCTGAATGATTACACTAGGGCTGAAGTCCAAAACAATGACTTTTGTCAACATCCGTGACTTGAGCTAGAGTGCGCTGTGTGAACTGCTTATAAGCAAACTGGAACGGGACATTAGAGAAGTGACTTTAAGTTTCTGCTACTTATTTAAGCAGTTGGGAGTTTAAAACATCAATTTGGCTTACTTACACAACATCTTTGCTAATTATTCCATTATGAAAACATCCTCAAAATAGTTTGAAAAATCAGATATTCCAAGTAAAATTTTTTACTTGGAATAGAGGCTAATAAGTGATATGAAATTTTGCTAGTTTTATTTTAGTTTATGTTCTTTTGAGAAATTTTGCAAAGAGGAGGGGCAGGAAGGCTTCCTTTTTAATGTCCTCGTGTTGCAGAATGCAGTTCCCTGCAATAGAATTTGTTGTGATGGCCAAAATATTGTGTCTGGCTTGAGTTCAAATAATTTTGGTTACAGATGAGTAAAAAGGAGAAGAAAAAATGAGGATAAAGGCTCTGCTAGCAACTTTGTCTCAATTAAATGGTTGTTAATGTTTCCATGGGAGCTATTAAAAGATCTAAATTAAACTCACAGCAAAAAGAAGGACCTTTTTCTTCCTAGGCCAGGTGTTGAGTTTGGAGCACTGGCATAAAATAAGTTTGTCATATTACTTACCTTTATTTACATAGTGCTTGCCTTGAAACCCTAAAGAACGTGTTTTGGGTGCCCAGCACTGACGTTGCCAAACAACGTTTGAAGAATGTTTGTCTTCCAGACTAAGGTTCGAATTTAGAAAGGTGTGGTTGCTCAATGAAAAGTATTTAGGTGTGTGCTTAAATATGGTCCAGAGCTGAGGCCTTGAGTTTGTGAATAACATGGTCATATTTCACCTTCTGTGTCCTCCAAGGGCCCAGGTCTGAGGCTGTCGGATGCTGTTGGTGAGAGCAGAAGTTGCTTTTAGATACGTACTTGTAAACAAATTGCTCCGAAATACATGAAAGCTGTGATGGCAACAAAAATATTAACTACTTTAAGTCTGACATTGTTGATTGTTTAGGTGGCACAGATAATCTGATTTTACTTAAGTATCCTGTGTCTTAAGGACTTTTCAAGTAGTATCTCAAAGCAAACTATTAGTGCAGGAAGGGCGATACTGAGCAGATTGATTGGTCCAGCAGTTCAGTTCGCCAAGAGCTGGGTTTCGTTGTGTTTGAACAAGGCTGTTTTCACAGAAGACCTGACACTAGGCTGCTGCAGGATGCCCCGTGTTGTTAGTGGTCACCACACGTGCTTCTGCCGAGCCTTTCCTGCCAGCGGTGGCCTGAGCAGCGAAAGCAGCTCGTGCGGCGCGCGGGAGACGGGCCGGCCGGCCTCCGCCTGGGCCGAGGCAGAAAAGCCTTTGGAACCCGAATGAAGATTTGCAGAAGTAGAGATAGTATTTAGATGTCTGAATGCTCGTCGTGTCTTTGAAAGTGTCCCTAAAAGTTCATGGAACTAAGTTTTACTAAGCCTATTGAGTTTTATTAGTAAATATAAATGTGCCCAACAGGTCTTTTAACCGAGTGTAACAGCAGAAAATAGTTTATGTGAAACTGCTTTAAAGCTGAGAAAATAATCTGAGCCTTCAGTGTCTGAGTCTGCCTGAACCTGAGTCTTCAGATAACAATAATCTGGATTCTGTAACGAGTATATTTTCCTAATACTTTTAAAATCATGTGATAGTAGCAAAAAAAGAGGTTTGTTTTCCTCTCAGAGGCATCCTTTATGCGATAGTGTCCTGCTTGGTAGAGCGCTGGCTGGATTCTCAATATCTGCAGTTTTTAGGAGGAAGTTTCTGTTAAATCAAATGCAATCAGATCTTTTGAAGATTTACAGTCTGGTTGACAGTGCTGTATGTTCACTGTACATTAAAGGTGGCGTTGTGTATTCAGCCAGGCTCCCCCCGACTGCGATTCTTGCAACTCTGGCTTGAAGGGTCCATCACCTCACTCACTGGCATTTTTTCCTGTGGCTCCGATTAACAGTTTAATTCTCAGCCCCGGTTTTAAAATTGACTTTATCTCACTAAAAGCAGCAAGGCCACTTAATGAATTTGCAATAGGTTGCATGCACCCCTAGGGTTCACTGAGTTCAGCCTTCATTTTGCAAGCTTTCCCATCTCACAGGCTGTCTTGGGCACCGACTTCTGTGTGAGAAAGAAGTTTGTCCCAAATGTAAGTTTGTTTATTCAGAAATAAACCGCTGTTCGCCCAAACATCTTATAAACAAGTGAAAGGACTCTGCTTTGTGTGCCTGTGTTAAAATCCAGGGGTGAAGGTTTCTGAGGATTGCAGGGCGAGAGGGCGAGGGAGGTACGTGTGTGCAGACTGCCCTCTAACGGGGCACCAGCCCCGAGGAGCTGGCCAGCCGCCTTAGGAACCGGCCGGCTGCCTTGTTTCCTCGATGGCTCTTAACAATTTGCATCACATTGGTTCATTTTTATGATGCAAAATCCAAGGAGATCTGAAATTAAAGCATTTTTTCTAACAGCCAAACTCTCCCCCCCACAAATTGCACCTGTAATGTGTTAGTTTTACCATGTCTAAAGGTATAGCTTTGTTTTATATATGTGTGTATGTGTGTGTATAGATATCTAACCACTTTTTGACCTTTCTCTTAGAACATCTTGCACAGAATATTTCCAAGTCACACATGGAAACTTGCCAATACTTGAGAGAGGAGCTACAGCAGATAACATGGCAGACTTTTCTACAGGAAGAAATTGAGAACTACCAGAACAAGGTATAAAAGCCTGTCAAACTATGGCGTGCCTTTTTTTTTTTTTTTAAGCATGATATTTTCATAACATACTGCAAAATTCACTTTTTTCATTGCTTTCGATGTACAATTAGAAATGTGTATTTATGTGTGTTTCCAAAAAATAAATAGACAAAGGCTAGAATCAAAGGCAGAAAGATGGTTAGGATATCCTTTGCATTTGTAATTTTTACAGGTATATTAAAAGGTAAAGCCATACTCTTCGGATCTACTTCTCTGTCTTTGATAACAAAGATAAGAAAGCCATAGAAAAGGTTTTCACTCCTAAGTGGCTGGACAATGCTCTAGTGTCATGAGATGCCTGATGCTCTTAGACCTGTGTGCTATTTACAGTTCTGTGGACTAAAGTGCAAACCTCCAATCACCAAAAAAACTCTTGAAACCACCAAATTGTCACTGTAGGATTCTCTACAGTTGACCTGTGAAACATCAGTGTGAGGACATGCGGCCTGTTGTGTCCCCTCTTGGTTGACATCAGATGATGTTAGCAAATAGCCTCGTATATAACACTGTATTTCTAATCTGAATATTTCTGACATGAGTAAGATTCCCAAAATCCTGACTTAGAACCTGTAAAATTTTAGGTTAAAAAGTTTATCTTTACTATTTTATTTTTGTATCTGGAGTCTGTACGGTTGAAAAATTCTGTATATATAGGAAACTGATCTCTCATAATCAGCTGTTAAAATCTGGAAGTATATGATAAACATTTAATGTTACACTTTTTAAAAAAATAAGACTAGGACATCTGGCATTGCTATTAATGAAAGTGAGGCATTTATAGGAAGTTTACTGAATGAGCTCAAACCGAAGACTCTGCATATAGATTTCAGTTGAAGTCTGTTGCAGAGTTGCTACTTTCATGAGGTTTTTAATTGCCTTTGCATTTTTTTATATGTTAATCAATGTTATAATTTACTTTTTGTTGGTGCGCTTTGATGGAATTTATCTCGCTTAACTGTATTCCTTTTAAAATTAGCCATATATGCTCTCTATATTGCCAAAGTAAAGAAGGAAGCATCTCAAGACATTAATTTACCCTTCCTATCCTGAATATCAGTCTTGGATGAGAATGTCTTACTCTGTTTCCATTCCAGTCCAATAATGGAGAACCTGGATATGAGCTGGCCAAAAAACCCGTCGGCTGTTTCACATTTTGCAATTTTACATGGTTTCTTCTGTTTGGAGATTATAAACATAGAACTGTGTCAGGTTTCCTGCCTTTTGTGCCTGGTTGTAACCTTGATTCATTCTGCAGTTTTTACTCAGTGTTTGAGCTTACCTATAGCATGGGCAGCACAGTGCTGCCATACCTCCAGCAGGTATTGTGAGATTTAATCATTGTTTGAATTTCCATTATGCTTTCTGTCCACAAACTACTTACAAAATAACTGCTTTTTCAAACTGTGTTGAAAAGCGCTATTAAAGCACATTGTTTTTTAAATATAATTGTAATTTCTACAAAAAATACGTAGCCTTGAAGAGTATCATTTTTTGCTCTTTAGGTAGTTTCATTATGAATTATTAATAAACATATGAAAAATGACTAATTGCATGCCTTATTTGTGGTATTTACAAGCTGATCTTCATATATGTTTATCTTTATATGTATCCTTATAAAGACCTGCTTGTTAAATAGGTTACATTCAGTAGGAAAGACAGACGTTAACAGGAAAAACGTGATTATGCATTGAGAACTTAGGTCTGCTGGTGTGACTTAGTATTTTCTTTTGAGGCAGCAAATAAAACTCCCGTTGAAATCATCAGAATCGTTACACTTGGACATTTTTGGCTCATGAGACAAAATCATGAGACTGAATCTCTCTGGCACCACTGAAGGTGTCTTACGTGTTTGCCTGTTCAGTCATCCACATGAGGCCTTGTTTTTGAGGTTAATTCCCCTTGTCTTACAAGCAGGCTGTAGGCAGGTGTGCAGGAGAAAGTTTGCTCTGCTTTGTTTTTCAGCTTAGTTTTACTTTATGAGAATGGGCTTTCCTAACCTCAATTAATAACTTTTCTTTTCTCTCAAACAGCAAAGGGAGGTCATGTGGCAGTTGTGTGCAGTCAAAATAACAGAAGCTATACAGTATGTAGTGGAATTTGCCAAACGCATCGATGGCTTTATGGAACTGTGTCAAAACGATCAAATTGTGCTTTTAAAAGCAGGTACGTTAGTGAATTTTAAGTTTTGTTTCTGTTATTTTTGACTACGGAATGTGCAACCTCTATACAGTGTATACATATATGTGTGTTGGACAGTGATCTTTTAAAATAATAACAGAAAAAAGTAAGAAATGTTGTGTTTCTTTGTGTGAAGTAGTATGCTTGTATTAGTAACTCTGGGTAGAAAAGTTCAAGTCTGTATGAAATTTTCATTATGAGCAATGGGAGCAATGAGTGTGTCAAGAGGGCGTTAGTTGGACTCAGATTTAAAATCTGGCTTTGTGATAGTGAATAACATTTTAAGATAAAAATCTAGATTTTTCTGTGCAAGACGTTGTTGAATTAATGCGGTTTACAAATAATGGGCAAAGTCTTCAAAGCTTCATGAGCATAAATGCTCATGAATTCATTCAGACGAACTGCTTTGACTTCAGAGAAGTTTCTCTAACAGAGAATTATTATTTATTAGCATTAACTAAAGTTACTTTAGCAGCTAGCCCTAAAAGGGTCTTTGGGAATTATATTAATTCTCTAGCAAATCAAACTGCTCTTTGTTACACCACAAAACCTACTACCCTACTTGATCTGTACTAATTTGAGAGCATGGGACATTTATAAATCCTCGCTGGTTCTTTGCAGCTGAAGTCTCTACTTAAACAGTCAAACTTAACGTTGTTTCTGTTTTAGGGTCTTTAGAGGTTGTGTTCATCAGAATGTGCCGTGCCTTTGACTCCCAGAACAACACAGTCTACTTTGATGGCAAGTATGCTAGCCCAGAGGTTTTCAAGTCCTTAGGTAAGAAATGTCAAGTGTTGTATTGTAAAACAACAGAATAAAAATAATAAGGTGGAAAAGCTAGAGGACAGCTGCTTTGAAAAAAAAAATTGACTATATTATGGGAATTTAAAGACGTTCAGAAGCTCAAATTGCTTACTTTGTAAACAACCATGCTGGCTATGTTTGAGGCCAAGCTGATCTCAAGAGCTTGAATAGCTTAACTCCGTACACTAAAGGACTCCTGGTGTTGGAAATCAGCACTTCAGCACTTGCCTTTGGTCAGGGTAGAGCAGTGTGGATATACTTTTCAAGAATAGAAGCCCAGATTTCACATCCAATATAATGTTTTATATATCCTGTTGAATGAAAAGGCAGGTTTTAAGCTAATTTTGGATATACTGATGTTACTGCTTTGAAGATGTTGATTTTGTTTTAAATTGTTTAATAGTATTTAAAATGTAATTATTTGCAGGTAAGTTACTGTAAATAGTTTATAATATTTATATACTTTACTATACTTTATAATTTTGAGATTTTCTGTGTAGTTTTGCTTATTTTAGAAGGATGCATTTAGTTGTGTTTGGGATTTGGTATATAACCTGTTTTGGAGGGCAGTGAAAAATGGCAGTGACAATATGGCAGTGAAGAATGCTGTACGATTACCATAATACTGTCTGCCTTTTTAAAACATCATGGAATATGAAGTCTGAATGCAGACAATTTAGAGTGCAGTATCAGATGTGAGCTTCTACGCAGCTTCCAATGAAACATACTTTCATCTTTTTCCAACTAGACCTAGAAATTTAGGTTGGGTTGGGGGCTGAGATCTGCAGAGGCGAAGCCCTTTGGAGACACGTTGCAGTCCCCTCCAAAGCAGGGCTCTGCTTTTGCAAATTGTGAGAAGCATGTGTAGCAGCAGTAGCAGCCTCATTCACACCTGTGTGACCAAGAGACTGGACAAGAATACGAAAGACAACAGACTTCTTTATGCACATGAAAAGCTTGCAGACCTTGGCGTCTCCCTTTGCTCCCGCATGTACCTTGTGTGCCTCTCTCTCCCCTCCCTCTTCTGTGTGCTCAGTACTTTTAAAACCTGCACTTTACCAGTACGTATTTCAAGCACCCGGTCTCCAGTGAAAGGAGAAAGTTTCGTTTAGAACGACAACAAAGCTAAACCAACATTGAGTTTTCTAGCCAAGTCATATAAAGATCAAATCTACATAAAGCGTTTGGAAATTTGGGAAAAATCTAACCATACTTTATTAGTTCTGATTTTGGAAATGACTTGTTTTTTTTCCATATTTTCCCCAAAAGAACAGAATCTGGGAAAAACAGTGTGTAAAAAATCCAAAACTTTGGCTGTCAGGGTGTGGAAACTGGGGACTTGTGGGACTGGGGTAACAACCTCTACTATGAGTGAGATCTCACTGCCATTACTCAGCAATCCTTTAAGGAGAAAAGCATTCACCTGCAAAATAGTCTACATCCATTTTTCACTTCCATCAGAATAAATAAACTATTCTGTAGCTTTGAAGTAGTTTTAAACAACTCGGCATGTACCTTCTTTTTGGCAGGTTGTGAAGACTTCATTAGCTTTGTGTTTGAATTTGGAAAAAGTTTGTGTTCTATGCACCTGACAGAAGATGAGATAGCTTTGTTTTCTGCATTTGTTTTAATGTCTGCAGGTAAGAGATAAAAAGCATCGCTCTAGGTTTATTTGGTAGAGGTTATTTTTATTTTGAAGTCTTTTTCAACGATAATGCTAATATTATCAGTGCGAAATGCTGAGTGCCTCCTTTCTAAACAATATTTTTATTTTATTTTTATATATATATTACAGCTATGAATTTAAGAATAAATCTACTGAAATTGTAAATCTGAATCTAAGCCCATGTTTTCCCATTTTTCTCCTTGTTGAGGATACTGCTTCTTTGTAAAAGCTGAAATGCATGCGAGTGAGACCGCTGGGTCAATCTAAGGAAGTCAGGCAGAAAGCAGCCACTGAATTTGTAGTCAACTTCCAACTGTGTGGGCTTGCAGCTGTAGCAGAGCATCTCAAGCACAATGCTACCCATACGATGAACGCTTCCAGTGAAAGCTCAGGTCTGTTAAGCAGGGTAGCCATTTTAGCGTGCTACAAAGCGTGCTGAGGCAGTTGTGTAGCAGGCTAGCTTAGATATCTTCACATCGCCATCCTGGAACTGAATGCACTGGAAAGTACAGTGCAGGCATACAATACAAGTGGCTCCCAAGAGTCAGTCTGGGTCTAGTATATCCACTGATACAAAATAACTTAATAATATCAAACAGATGTGCACAGTACTCCAAGTTCTGGGAAGTCTTACTAGGTTGGGGGAAGCAAGGCGTCAGTGCAGAAAGTCAGTTTGCATCTGGCATACCGCTCAAGGAAATAGACACTCGTTCTAGATTGGAGCATAGCGGACACAGGAGTGGTGGTGGAAAGGTCTGTTAGCAGCAGTGGGTATAGTGGCCCCATCTGCAAGTGGGCTGATCAGATTCAGACTGGCTTCTCCGTTTGTCCATACAGCAGAGTTGACTGTATAATAAATACATCCCCATGCCCTTTGCCAGATCAGAAGTCTGTCAGCGCTGTGTCTTAGTATGTGCACCACAGAATTCCTCCGTTCTGCCCCATGGAGGATGTAGCTGGTAATGCTTCTTTTCTGCCAGGAGGACCACTTTTCTTCTTAACAGCTGAATATCTATCCACTTCTGATTTTTCTGTATGTCACCGTAGATCTTAGCAAGAGGATACACTCCAGCTAGTTGTTCATTATATAATCTTTCATTTTCTGACAAAAAGTTGCTAGCTTCCATTTTGTAAATAGTCTGAATTTTGTAAGTACCCTGAATTTTACAGAATCTTATCAGCAAATTATTAATATTATTCAGATATGCTGGACTCCTCTAATATGAGGGCTCTATAAAACTAATTTTAAATGCGAGCAATAAATGTATTCTAAAGCCTATTGCTTTTGAAATTCATTTCCTGTATAAGACTGTTGAAGTGGAAGGAAGGTTGCAACAGGAGAGATGAATCTGTAACAAATCTTAAGAATCTTATTTCCTGGTGCACTGTAATGGATGTATGCAGTACTAGAGGTGTTCACTCCATTTATATTTAGATCGTTCGTGGCTCCAGGAGAAGGTAAAAATTGAGAAACTCCAGCAGAAGATCCAGCTAGCACTTCAGCATGTCCTGCAGAAGAACCACCGAGAAGACGGAATTCTAACAAAGGTGAGGCTCGCCGAGCGCGCCGTGTCGCATGAGCGCTAAAGCGCGCTCTTTCGTATCAGCAATATCGTAATTACTGTGTAACAGCTTTTATGTAGTTAATTTACACTATATAATCCCAGAATTCTTTGTTCAAAGTCTGACTGCTTAGTTGAAATCATTTGCTAAAAATTAGGAGGGGTGAAAAGATGACGTAAAGACAAAAATGACAGTGGTCTGAAAAGAAGAATTTTAATCTTGAACTTCATGAAAAGCCATCGAGGTTTTTGTCCTGTTTTTCCTGCTGTGCAACATTTCTGCCACACAGGAATACTGTTTCAGTTCTATAGCATGCATGCCTTAATCCTCATGAAATATCTGCCTGCCTGACAGTTAAATTGAGATAACCTGCAATATCTAAGCTAACCATGGTTTTTAGCATTCTGTGAAAAGTTTCCCCCACAGCCTTTTTCTAAGCAGTTCTTCCAAGTATTGGTGGCCAGGGAAGAGAAAGGAGATACTGCGTACTAGTATGTTAATCTAAAGCATCTTCACCTAGGTTTTCAAAAATGTGAAGACGGTATGATGTTAAAAGAAAAACCACAGTGCAGGAAGGAGTGACACTTCCTTACAGATGTAGTTCCTTTTATACCTCTACATAGCTGGAAAGTTCATGCTTAGTTTTACATCACAGAAATTAATTACAATAGAAGCAAGATGGTACAGCCTAATGTAACAGGCCAGGCTTTTCCGATTGTCCTTATTTCAAATCCTAGCTCATATAATTCTTTTCCCAGCATGTACTTTGGATACCTTTGCTGGAAGAAGGAGGTTACTTCCATGTACTTAGATACAAATATGTAATCAGAAAGTTCAATGAGTATCTTAGTAGTGGTAGTATCTTAGAAATGCACATTTTTCAGATCTCTCTGTTCCTTTATGAAAATTTCACTTTTCTCCTTTATTTGGTATGAATGAAAATAGCACGATCTGTTGCATTGCCAGTTCCCTCCACAGTACTCACAGTGAGTTTAAAAGTAATCAGGAATGCTTTCTTTCAAAAAAATACCTAAATTGTATGAAAGAAGAGGCAGTCATGAAATAGTAATATATCAGTTTGGTGCTTGTGGTATTGCTTACCTGGCAGGCAAATGAAATGAAGAAATCTAATGATTCATATTCCTAGGATCTTAAAGAAGAGATTTTTTCACAAATAGCAGTAGTACATTACTTAATACCTTTTAAGTGGCTTCTTTTTTTTTTTTTTTAAATTACCAAACTTAGCCATTTCTAAGCATCTGAAATACCGTTGTTGAGGTAAACAACTGAAGTGAACTAGAAGTATTTGAGAGAGCTGTAATCCTAAAAGGAAGACTGGAACGCCTAGTTTCATATATGACCATATGACTTCTGTTCGTTTTTTTGCAGTTAATATGCAAAGTGTCTACTTTAAGAGCACTGTGTGGACGACATACAGAAAAGCTTATGGCATTTAAAGCAATATACCCAGACATTGTACGACTTCATTTTCCTCCACTTTACAAGGAGTTGTTCACTTCAGAATTTGAGCCAGCGATGCAAATTGATGGGTAAATGTATCACCTAAGCACTTCTAGAATGTCTGAAGTACAAACATTAAAACAAAAGAAAGGAAAAGAAAAAAAAAAGAAAGAAAACCAAGACACTTTATATGGCCCTGCACAGACCTAGGGAGCCAACACACTGCACATCTCTTGGCGGTCGGGGTCAGGCGAAGGACGGGAAACAATGAAACAAAGTTGAACTTGTTTTTCTCATGCATATGATTTCCATTATGCCTACAAATATGGACCCTTTTTCTGTCTCAGCTTCTCAATCCTTGACCTCTGTTTACACAGACTGAGGGTACTAATGTCGGAAGGTTGTTTTCTCTCGTAGTTCACTGCCCAGACTTTTGACAGAACAATCAATTTGTTGATCAGAACAGAGAGTCCTGCTAGTAATCAGCGATTGGTGTGCATTGCAGAGAGTTCAGCATCAGTTTGCACAACTTGCTCATTGTTTCATGAAGGACGATTTTTTTTCACCTACCACTGTTTGCCAGTAGACAGAATGGCATGAAAAGGGTCCATAGCAATAGCAACAATAGCATTATAATATATTACAGGGTAAATGGGCATGAAGACTATATATAGCAAAAGAGATATTGTTTATATATTGTTTTAATTAATATAAAATGTAGTTACTGGTATAGCTTTTCTTGTTGAATTGATAAGGCACTTTCATTTTGCACCTTTTTCTTTAAATTAAATGCTAGCGTGTTCATTGTTGTGTTGCATGTGCACCAGAAATTCAAGTTTAACTGAAAAAGGTTTCGCAGGTACTGGTACAATGGGAGGTATTTATGCTGCTGTTTTCCATGTTACTTTTAAAGAGAGGCTGGTCATATCCTGAAATGGTTACACAGATTTTTTTTAAACAGTTTGGAAATAATGAAAATTTTCTAAATTAAAATTCACTTCTCAGTGGTTACTTTAAAAGGTACTTTTGTTTTCAAATCTTTCAAACCTGGATATTTAAAATGTCAAGCCTAAATCTGCGTTTAGGCACACAAATAAAAAGCCTCATTTTCAAAAGTGCTGAGCTTCCAGGGTCAAGGTTTAGCTAAGCAATCACAGATCCCTAACAGATAGAGACATACAGCATCCTTGAAAATCAGGCTGTTAATAAAGTATATTTCTCCCCACCGTAAGTCCAGGTTTGAAGTTACTGACTCAAGTCTGTATCTACAGTAAAAGTATGTGTGTATGACATGGATGTGGAAAATTAATTTTTATACATAATATTACATACTTTTATGCTCCGTATCGTAAACAATGCCTGCAGCCCCCAAACTCTGTCCTGTCCAAATCCACAGAAGGTTCGTCTTTGACTTCAGTGAGAACAGGTACTGACCCGTTTCCCAAAATCCAGCAGTTCAATTTAAGGTAGCTTAATAGAAAAGTCCATTGTTCTCCTTATTTTGGACAGCCGCACTTTATCAGATGAAGGTAGACTAACAAAGTAAAGGCGCGCTGATGCTATAACGCACTGTTTTGTATTATGAGGCCTGGAAATCATTAGTACCATAAACCTGCATTCTGTAGTTCTCCAGTTGTGATCCTCGCGTTGCATAAACAACCAAGAAGCAGGATCTTGCAACCTTTGTCAATACAAATCACCATTCCCTTGAGGAGGGAGGAGTACTGAACCTGGGTAAATTTGGCAAGCGTTAGAAGTTAAACCCAGTTCTGAAGGGAACAAATCCACAGGAAACAACATCAGAAAATAAACTGTGGCTGTTTGAGCCAGAGGTGCATAATTGGTTTGGGTGAGATGAGGATGTGTAGCAACCAGCTGCCTTGTAGGCCAATGCGAACAAAGTTTCTGATGAGGTACGTTAGAAAAAGGAAAGAACTTCGAAAAGAAAAAGAACAGACAGAATGTGCTCCCCTGCTTTAATTTCTAGGGATAAAGAGTCTCTGTCATATTCTGTAGTCATTGGAAAGTAATGAAGCGTATAGAAGCATACTGAAGTCTTTAAAAGAATTAGGCCAGTGGACTGTTATGCCAAAATAAAGTGTTTTTTGTGGTTTGGACACCTTTCATTTGGGGTCAAATTGAGCCATTTAGCCTGTGACACCTGTTGACGTTTTTATAACGTGCATCGTGAGGAAAGCTGATGGGTGGCACTGTGTCTTGGCTGGTATCGGCCGGCTGACGCGGTGTGAAAGCTGGGGGAGCCGCCCGGCGCCGCGCAGGCAGGGCACCCCAGGCAGCGGCCCGGGGCTCGCTCCCTCCGCTCTCACCGACCCGCTTCTCCGAGCACCATTGTTTACGCTATTGGAGTAACTGGCATGATATGGTACTTTTGTTCTAATATTGTACTCTTTATTTTAAAACAAGCTTTTTAACTAACAAATGTTTTCTGAATGTGACCAGCCTTAGGTGCTAGTCCTTTAAAGATCAACTAAACTTAATCTCAGTGTCAACTAATGAATATTGAAATAAGACTTTTTTAGAGTGAGACGCAACTCCTACTTCTGACGATAAGTAGATTAGCAGGCAAAATATTTTGGGATTAATTTTCAGTCATGTCCTCTTCTTATTTTTTCCCTGATGAGTATTAGTACTTTACCAGGCCTCCAGGTGCCAGTGGTTTTGTCTGGCATCTAGTTCACAGTATTTTCACCTTAAGTTCTGGAAAACACAAAATTCTGGAGCGGGTACTAATAAAATACATAACCATCAAGAGGTTCCAAGCAGGGTCTTAGCTGAAAGCCCTTTGTATGTGAAATGAGCTTGTGACATGGTCTTCCAGGCCGTGGGGCACCCAGCTGCTGTCATTTTCGTCAGCGGGAGCC